ATAGCCAGAGCACGATGACATCTCAAACTAGCCATGAGAGGTCTTGCGTAAAAGTCTATGCTCTGTATGCAAGGGTTGCAGGATGTGTAGCTAGGAGTGCTGAGGTGTTAATAGAAGCCTTTATATAAACAGAAACTCATGTGCAGGATTAATAGAAGCAATAGTGACAGGAGTCTAAATTTGGTATTATCATATAATTTTGAAGTTGTAATTTTGCACCAATCAATTTGGTACCTGTGCATTGTACTTATGTAATCCATATTTATAACATAATGTTTACTGCTTGAATTTCACAGTATGTAATCCATATCAGTACCTATGTGTTGTGCTTATGTAATCTATATAAATATAAAACCTGCGTTACTTGTCATGAACTAATCTCTTGGGTTTTCAATTAAAGTCCTCTTCCACTATCTGTAATCTAATGTTTACTGCTTAAATTTCATAGGAAGCTATGGAAACTATGCGAGCAGAACCTGTTGTGATGGGCACGAACCAATGACTAGTGTTGACGTTGTTTCCAGTGTCATTTGCCTCTCCCAGGGCCAGGTCCACTCCCAGGTCAGCGGCAACACCTTTTTTTGAAGAATGCTGGTATCCTGATAAGCTCCGCCAGAATAGAGACATCGACGGAGAGAATGCTTCAGGAACAACTTGTTGCTGATCATGAAAGTTTCGCTAACCTCGTCAAACAAGTGGATAAACTAAAGACGAAGACAAAAAAAGACTAAAAGAGAGTTTGAGGAGTTCAATATACAGCAACAGGAGGTGTATAATAACCTGCGTGAGGATATTATGCGCTTCAGCTCTTTTTCTGGTAACTCTCAGTCGTCAACTCATGTTGGCTTGATACAGTGAACATTTGTGGTTTGATGTGTAGACTCGTGTGCCGTTTGATGTGGTGCAACGTGGCTTGCTGCTGATGTGTGAACTATAATTTGTTGTATTTAATTGACATGCTAAATAATTATGTAGACATTCGTTGAATAATTATATCGTTAATCTATGCAGCAGTGATGATCTCGAATTATTTTTCTGATGACGAAATGATTGTTGAGCACATGACCTAGATAGAACACATGATCAAATAAAATTACGACACGTGGATGAACCAGTGCATGACACGTAAAATAACCAATGCATGACACGTGGGCTAATAAAAATCAGAGACATGGAAGGAAGTCGTCAAACCACGTGGCCGAATAAAAAAAACGAAACGTGGACGGACAACACCGTGACATGTGGTCGAATAAGAAACGGCCACGTGGACCAATAAAAATGCGACACAAGGTCCAATGAAGAAGTGACACCTGCTCCAACCGCAATACGACACGTGTGCCAATAGAAAACTGACATGAGTAACAACAGGGATCCGACATGTGGTCTAGTAAGAACCTAAAACGTGCGAGAACCAGAGATGATCACTTTGTCCAATAACAAGGTGACACGTGACCCGAACCATCTCCAATGCAAACCGGCTATATTATGTACACGTGAAAAGCATCTCCAACGGAAGCACTCGCCAGCGTGGCTGCCCCCTACCATGCATGCCAAAATAGTTTTATGACGGTTAATTTTTCATCACAGATCAAGCTACTTCTATGACGAGTTTCTAAATTCATCACGGAAGTTCAAGTATGACGCGAGTTCTATGACGAGCTGTTTTTCGTCATAAATTCATCATAAAACTAAAATTATGACAAATTTGATTTCTTCAGTGACGAAAACTGTTCGTCATGAAAGTGCAGATTTCTAGTAGTAATAGTTATGGTTTGCTCCTACTTTGTTGTAGCCTTCTAAGAAAAGGAGGGCCTTTGGCCTTTGGTATAAAAAGTAAGAGAAGAAGTGCATATTGATGATGCTTGGATGAGTTGCTCTCGATTACCTTGACATGGCAAGATCATGTTTCATTTTGTTGCATAGCACCAGGCAGGCTACCCGATGTAATTAATTAGTAATTAGAACCTTGCTTCATTCTTAAGTGTATATAATATAAACATGTAAAGGGTTGCAGTGTATAACACATGAATTTTGATGATAAAAAACTCGAAGGGAGTGCTATCTGGTGCAGGTACTCCCTCTTCCACGTAAGAACGCAATTTTCGCTTTTCAAGAAGTCAAAGTCATTTGAACTTTAACTAAATTTATATATAAAAGTACAAACAATAATAATATAAAATAAGTTTTATTAGATTAGTTATAGAATATATTTTTATAATAAATCTATTTTGACACATAAATGTCAATACTATTTACTATAAACTTGATCAAATTTAAGCTATATTAACTAACACAGATGTTAAAGTTGTATTTTTTTCTGGACGGAGGTAGTCTATCTAGTATGCTGCCACTTGCATGTCCGATTCCATCAAGAGAGAGAGAAATCGAAGTGCAGGCATATCATTATACGATTTGACACAACACTGCTTAAATATTACTACTTGTATATGTACTACCTTCCTTTGCCGTGCATCAGCATGTTCGCTTGTTCGTATATGATCATGGATTATAAGCTGAAATAATATTTTTCTCTCACACTGATAATCGTTTACGACGATCCGAATAAGCTGCATGTAGGCAGACAGGGTGGTTTATATGAGCTGCTATTTATTCAATATGACATGTTGATCTCTAAATTCAAGCAAAACTTTTAGCAAATGGGAGATAACCTATATTATATATTATATACTGTGTAAGTTGAGACATGAACGCATGAGCCACGAACATGTGAGAAATCATTCACCAGGACATCTATGACACATAAATGACACCATCACCATATGGGTAAGTAGTAGGGCCTTGTTTAGATTGCAAATTTTTGCAACCTGGACACTGTAGCATGTTTCATTTGTATTTGACAAACTTTGTCCGATCATGGATTAACTAGGCTTAAAAGATCCATCTCGTGATTTACAACCAAACTGTGTAATTAGTTATTTTTTTTTACCTACATTTAATGCTCCATGCATGCGTCCAAAAATTGATGTGATGGAAAGAGAGTGAAAAAACTTGGAATTTGGAGATGGCCTAAACAAGGCCTAGATGTACTCAGTCTGACACAGCCAAACCTGAAATAGCGATGCACAGACTGTGATAAGTGTAAAATGATAAGATTCACACAAGTAGGGTATTTCGTGATATGGTTGTCAGATGCAGGGTAACACCATATATTAATTATTGGTAGGAGATCGTGACGGTCTATATAATAAATAATCTCCGCAGAGAACTGTAAAAAGAAATTGTTACCATTGACTAATGATCCTTCTTGTATTTCTCTAATATTTTACTCTCTATTATTCTTGCTTTCCTGTTGACAGCGCAAAGAGGGGAGAAAGTAGGCTGACTATACTGGACCGAGTGACGAGGATATGCATGATTAGGGTGTACGTAGATGTGACCTCTACTCAAGTGGATAGGGGAGCTAACTTGCTGCACAAAATAAAAAGGCTGGTGCTGGTAGCTGCTGTATGAGGAGTTAGAAGTCACCGAGTTGTTTTTTTGATAAAAATAATAATAAAGTGTTCTCATTATATGGATATAGAATCCTTTTATTTGCCTTGTATGTGTTTGACGATCTATATTTCCATACACATACGGTACTGTCACCGTCATATTTTTGTCCGGGCCATGACAAATCCTATAGTTGATTTCCGCTCCCTCCTCTCTTTTGCTCTTATATTATCTCACTCCTCTTCTCGGCCAGTCTTCCTCGTCCCCTCCTCTCCCTCTTCCTAACTAGCCAATGTGGGGTGGATTCCTCGGCTGATTGCCCAGCCAGCGTGGGGGTGGGGGGGGGGGGGAATAGGTGGCCTCCCAGTGGCGCGTGGGGGTCGCAGGTGGCCGAGACGTGGTGGGTGGGTGCGCGGGCGGCTGGCCTCCTCGGCCGGAGCGCGGGGCACAGGCAGAGCTCCTTGACACAATGATTTGTGGATGAATTGATGATGCATTGAGTCTTTCTCTCTCTCGATCTGATATGTGATCTCTCTGTGATCGATTTGATGAATCCATCAATGATGTTTTGAATCTCTCCCTCTCTATGATGTGATGAATCTATTTGTGATGTGTTGAATCTCCCTTTCTCTCTGTGATGAATCGATCTATGGATGAATCAAAGTGCAATGGCAAGGGCATGACCGACGCTGGTGTTTTCTTTTTCTTTTGGGTTTTTTATTTTTTTCACAAAAATGGGCATCACTACTGGGTGAGCAACCTGCAGTAAAATGATATGGGTATCACTGCTGATTGTCCATTGTCGGATTAAAATCTGATAGTGAAAACCAATTTTGAACCCGAAGTGAACCATAGCTATGGCGTAGTGGTTAGGTGAAATGAGGGCACCAAACACACAAAAGCAACATCAACAGTGTGCTTGGTGCTTTGGACCTGTAACAATCTCCTGTATGGCAATGTCCACAACGTCCACTCTCATCTACCTTAGGCAACAAAAGGGCTATTGTGTACTTGGTAAAAAACTCTTTGGTTTATTTCAGCTATATATAGTCTCTGAGAGTCCACATTGCTAGTACTACCACTATGATGGATGATAAGAGTATATTCGATATCTCTAGATAATTTAAGTTTAGGACCGATTGCACTTCTGTAATAATTTATCTTATATATATGAGAGGCTCCTTGCCCTACAAAGCCATATAGTCCTATATAAACATCCCACAAGGTTCAACAAAGATTTTTCAATATTTGTAGTATTTTGTATTCTCACAACATCCTTGTGCCTAAATCACTTAAGTATACTTATCATAATATTTAAATGTATTATCTATTAGGGGTTGCCCTACTCTTTCCTCAAGAAAAAGCTCACAAAATAGAATGAGTTATGCACACGATATCACTAAATAAACCTATGGCCTATATATATATATATGGTACCATAATTCTGTATATGTAGTGGCCCCATCAGTTAATGGAATATCTGCATCGGACATTACCAAAGAGCAATTCTATATATATTGGCTCAAAAGTAATCACATGGGACAAAAAAACTATCTACCAGTTGTGACAGATATGGTCATCTCATTGATACTGCGTGCCACAGTACCAGTACTGGATTCCTCTTCATTTCCTACCCGTACATTGAAATATGCTGGGTGATTCGGCTTAGCCAAGATCTTAGCTTTGCTACTTAGCATTGCAACAACATCTAACATGGTTGGTCGATCAGCTGCATTCTCTTGTACACACAACAATCCAATGTTCATGCACCTCATGATTTCAGTTGAGTGATGCATGGGTTCCAATGAAGAATCAATGAGTTCCCTCCATCTCCCCTCTTCATATAATTGCCATGCCTGTTTGTAGTTTCATCACACAATGATTAATGTAGATATGACACTAAACTAACAAAATGATTTTACATGCTACATGTAAATCGATAAACTTACATATCCAAGAATATTGATGAAATCTTCACAGTCATGGCTACCAGAATTCCTTTTTCCGCTAAGGATCTCAAGGATGAGAACACCAAAGCTGAATACATCAGATTTGATAGAGAAGAGGCCCTCGGAGGCATACTCGGGAGCCATATAGCCACTAAAACGAAAAGTAATTATGTATCAAATTATTTTATATGCATTGGTTGATATGTATTGTCATTGTCCATAAGTAGATCAATTTATACGATACTTACTATGTACCAACCACTCTCCTTGTAGTGCTAACTTCATTGTTATTTGAGCTAAATATTTTTGCTAGCCCAAAGTCTGAAATTTTAGGATTCATTTCACTGTCCAAAAGAATGTTACTTGGTTTAAGATCTCGATGTATGACACGCAAGCGTGAGTGCTTATGTAGGTAGAGAAGTCCTTCTGCTATCCCTTCAATTATTGCCAGACGTTTGTTCCAATCCAGTAATGATTTTCTGTTTTCATCTGTAAATCCATTAAATGTTAGTATAACAGAAAACCACTCAATAAACTGGAAACTGTATACATACTAGAAATATCTAGGGAGGGAAATATTCTCATCCCACTTCCAGAAACTGACATACAGGGGAAGTTTTCATTCATTCTGAAACATCGTTATCATAACCAGTATCAAACCTAAGTGAAAAAAAAAATAAAATACTTACCGAAGATAAAGAAGTCCAGGCTTTTATTTGGCAGGTATTCATAGACCAAAATTTTCTCCTCTCCCTGAGAGCAACATCCGAAGAGCCTAACCAAATTTGTGTGTTGCAGTTTTGCTATGAGTTGTACTTCATTTTTGAACTCTATGAAACCTTGCCCTGAATGTGAAGCAAGTCTCTTAACAGCTATCTCAATTCCATCAGGAAACTGACCCTGTGAAGAAAGCAAGTATTCAAAAGTTACTTCACTAGTATTTAATTTTGCCGCAATCAGGTTCTTTATGATGCACAAGTCACAGTTCCCAGGTAACTAGAGAAAGCAAATCTACCACATTCATCTTCATTAGAAGAATATATGCAGCAGTCTTCATTTACAAACAGGCAACTAGCTAGCGTATCCATCGTTAACCAAACATGCAACCTTCACATATACACCATGGTATGCTTATATAGTTGTATGCCTAGTTTCATAATTAAGGACTATAAACGTCTGACCTGCTATATGATCATCACATAATTTGGACTATACACATGTGCTGCATATTTACCTTGTAGACAGGGCCAAACCCACCTTCCCCAAGTTTATTTTCTTCAGAGAAGTTATTTGTAGCCTCCAATATCTGATGAAAGTCAAAAACAGAAAACTCTGAGAGCTCTGCTTCAATTTCCCAATCTAGCTCATCTCCTTTCAAGTTGTGAGTATGCTTTTGTCGTAATCTAGATCCACCTGCATAATAGTCGATAATTTGATCACTTTAAATGTCCAATATAATTGTAAGAATTATATGAGACAGAGAGCGAGATGTCGGTAACAATCAACTCACCTTTTTTGTACCTTCTCCTCCTTTGCCAACGCCAGTAAAGGATGAAGCAGAACGCTACTACCGCTACAGGAGGTGTAACAGACACCGCAATTACCCAGGGCTTCACCCCAGATCCTAGACAAACAAGCATGCATCAACAATCAGGTCATAATAATTAGCACTCCAAAGTCCAAACGTTAATTGTCTGATCATCAGCAAGTAGTAGTAACTTCTAATTAACTGTATTGTTTGGGAACACCAGAAGAACAGAACATGCATTGAAAATAACATGAACTCATCAGTCGTCACCAGCTCACCACATACCCTTATTCGTCGTCGGAGCCGGAAGTGGTGGTGCCGGAGCGCCGGATGACGGCGTGATCTGCATCATCTGTGCGCCGTCGAAGAACATGATATTCTCGACCCTGAAGTTGCACCGCAGCAGGAGGACCCGCCCTGCCACTGGCGTCGTGGCGTTGAGCGTGCTGAGGATCTGCTGGAAGCACGCCATGCAGTCGCCGGCGGACAGGTCGGGCGTGCACTGCGCCAGAGAGTAGAGCGTCGGGATGGAGGTGCTGGAGGCGTCCATGTAGGCCGTGACGAACCTGCTGGGCCTGGCGGCCGCCTGCTGGGCAGTCTGCGCCAGCAGGTCCTTGACGCCGGCGGCCACCTGGGTGGCGTTGCCGCCGGGGGTGGTCGCCGCGTTGTTCCAGTAGTCGAAGAGCGTGCTCATGTCCCGGGTGACGTTAAAGGCCGGGACGAGGATGTTGTCGCTGGAGTAGCCGACGAGGCAGTCGTCGTCGTAGACGCTGGCGGCCTTGGCGTTGGGGCACATCCTCTGCGCGTACTGGAACGCGCCGTTGACGCAGGCGCTGCACCCGGTGAGGTTGCCTGTCAGGTCGCCGCGGCAGAGCGCCAGCGCGTACACCACGTCGCCGGGGGCTTGGCCGGCGGTCGCGGTCGCGAAGAGCTGCGGGGACGAGGAGGTGTTGGTTGGGAGGGTCGCGGCGAGGAAGGCGAGGTTCGACTGATATGTGCCGTTGGCCGTGTAGTTGCCGGCGTTGCCGCAGACCTTGCCTATTGCCGTTGCTGACGGCAGCACGAGGAGGAAGCTAATAAGAAGGATGATGGCCGGGACGCCCGCCATGGCTAGCCTAGGCTAAGGACGGGCGCGGCGCGCTAGAGATAGTACGTTGTTACTGCCTGCTTATTATCACCATCACGCATCACGTACGTGGAGAAGGCAAAGAAACGTTCATGCATCAGATCAGCTGTCGCTTTCAGCAGTAAGCCTCACTTCTATCTTTGATTTATTCTCGAAGTTTGACAAATTCTGTCTTCATCATCTTGTTCCTACCAACCCTACTTGAACAAGCCCCTGATAGCTTTTACCTCCATCGAAGTGGACTTCGTTCACATGCTCATGGCTAGCACGCTGCAAAAATATCATTCAAAGCGCAAAATGTTGTTTTATTCCAAGTCATGATCGTCACTTGCAACAAAAATTCAGTTGTCTTCGTTCAGAGGTGAGTGGTGATAGTTAATACCTTATTTTGAAACCATCAATCACGGCATCACCAGCAGGTTCTTATAATTCACTTGGTCTTCTCTACATGTCCCGGCCGGCAAGAATATATAGAATACCTCTCTCATGGCGTAAACGTTGTCTCTTTACAGCTGCCTGATAAAAACACGCTTTTATTTGGTCGTATGCTTTGATAAATTATTGCTTAATTCATTCAACTTGTTGGCTGTTGCTATCCTGGTTGTATGATGCTATTGAGAGATACCCAAGATACACTCAATAATAGTCTAGAAGTGGACTCTGGTCAGCTTACGTTCATAGCTGAAACGCGGCACAGACATGGAAGCCTAATTTTCGGGATTATGACCCTGTGTTTCTCAAACCTAGATTTCTAAGGCATGGGCACCATATAACTGTAAGATATTGGGTTTGAAGAACCACCACAAACTAGATGAGGTGGTGCATCATTAGTTCATCAATGAATTTTGATGAAATCAGAGTGGCCAAGAGAACAAAATTGTCTTGAATCAGGTGCCATTGAATATTCAGTTTAGGACTAGTTAATTGCTTGACATAACCTAGTAGCTAAGCTTTCCAATATTCACCTAATATATGAGGACACTTTAATTTCATCTTGACGCAATGCTTTGACAATTTAATAAAAGCTCCATTTATCAAAAAAGAAATGAGAAGGGCACTTTCATTTGGGATCTATATAAACATGGACGATTTTCTATTTGCTCCATGTATTAATATTCGATGAACCAAGGCATGAACATTTCGTTCTCGAATAAAATTATTTGGAAACCAAAACTCCCTGAAAATTCTCTTTGGTAATCTAGCTAAAAGAAATTGAAGTGGTAATAAAAAATATTGCTTTTTATGATTGTAATAAGGCAATCAAACACCTCTTCTTTAATTGCAATCATGCTAATACAATGCTCATTTTCACAGACGGTCAAACAAAATTTACAGAGAGGCACTTCTATCTCTAGACTCTAGAGCATGGCCTAGGGCCTCCTCCCCGATGCCGCTTCTCCCCTTCAAAAAAATTTGTTTCTTGTGGGTCGTTTTTTCATCTGGGTTTGGTTTCCTGGTGAAGTCGCTGAAGTCTTTTCTTTTGGACTAGTTATTGTTTGTTTCGATAAATTTCATACATCAGGCACTCTTATGAGTGTCATTATTAAAAATCATTAGTTGATAATTTCTTAGTTTAGCCTTTTGTACTTAGACTTATCCATTAAACAAAGGGTATAATTAGTACTACATTGGGACAATACAAAAACACATGATAGCAAGAGGGCAAAAAAATTATCTAGGAGTTGTGACAGATATGGTCATATCATTTATACTACATGACTCAGTAGCAGTAGTGGGTGCCTCCTCATTTCCAACCCTCACATGGAAATATGGTGGCTTCTTAGGTTCAGCGAGGATTGTCGTAGTCTCAGTGCTTAGCATGGAAACCACATCTGCCATGGTTGGTCGATCAGCTGCATTCTCTTGTACACACAACAAAGCAATGTTAATGCACCGCATCATTTCTGAGGACTGGCTCTTGTTTACCAATGATGCATCCACGATATCAATCCACCTCTCCTCATCCCATAATTGCCATGCCTGTTTGTAATTTCATTTGAAATGTAAGTTTGATAGCAAATAAACAAAACCAAATGCATGGTTAAGTTTGTATCTATGACTCACATATCCAATGAGATTGATAAAATCTCCACATTGATCGCTGCCAGAATTCCGTTTTCCGCTAAGGATCTCAAGAACAAGAACACCAAAGCTGAAGACATCTGATTTAATCGAGAAGATGCCCTCGGAAGCATACTCCGGAGCCATATAGCCACTAAAAATGGATTTATCATACATGTTAAAATCATTGTATTTTGTTGACTCGTAATATAAATGTTCATAATTATTTTATTTCTTTGAAACTTACTATGTACCAACCACTCTTTGTGTAGTGTTCCGTTCCGTGTTATTTGAGCTGAATATTTTTGCAAGCCCAAAATCTGAAATTTTAGGATTCATTTCACTGTCCAAGAGAATGTTACTTGGCTTAAGATCTCGATGTATGACACGCAACCGGGAGTGCTTATGTAGGTAGAGAAGTCCATGTGCTATTCCTTCAATTATTACTAGAAGTTTGGACCAATCTAGCATAGCTCTTCTATTTTCATCTGCACATCAATTGAAAATGAGTATTACTTCATATGGAAAGATAATCAAGATGTGTACTTGACCATATTGTCTGACACAAACAACGAGTAAATTTTAGTTAGTCTACTACATTACACATGTGTAAATTAAACTAGAAATGAAACTGTACGCACCAAATATAAAGAAGTCTAAGCTTTTGTTTGGCAAGTATTCATAGACCAATATCTTCTCTTCTTCTTGAGAGCAGCATCCCAAGAGCCTAACCAGATTCCTGTGTTGGAGTTTGGCTATGAGTTGGACTTCGTTTTTGAACTCTGTGAAACCTTGCCCTGAATGTGAAGCAAGTCTTTTGACTGCTATCTGCAATCCATCAGCAAACTGACCCTGGGAAGAGGACAAAACATTAAGACGTATTAGCGATGTTTGTAGCAAAAAACGTAGGCTCTTATTTCATCAGCCATATAATGACTGAACTTTCTTGAACTAATTTACCTTGTAGACAGCACCAAAGCCACCTTGTCCAAGTTTGTTTTCTTCTGAAAAATTATCTGTGGCCTCCAGTACCTGTTCAAAGTCGAACACGGAGAACTCTGAATTCTTCCCATCCCAAACTAATTCTTCCTCTCCATGCAAGTCCTGAGTACGCCTTGATCCTGCTTGTAACCTCATTGCTTTGCCTGAACATATATACAGAATTACAGATGAGAACCCCTCTTTCATGCATGTTTACTGTATCTAAATGAACATATACCATTAACTGGAACTAATTTAAGCAACATGATTGACCATAATTTCTGCAACTAAGTCCCATACCTCTCCTGTACCTTCTGAACCAAGGGGAGTAGAAGATGAAGCAAAGAAATGCTACTGCCGCTAGAGGAACCACAACTACTGGAATTACCCACAGCTTGCTCGCACGCCCTGATCTCGACATGATAACATGATGATAATTAACTAAGGGACCATGGGTACTTAAATTTGTGAGCATATATATATATATATATATATATATATATATATATATATATATATATATATATATATATATACACACACACACACACACATTTAAGTAGGCAGAAATCAGAACCATAAATATCTAGGCAATTAGGCATAGGAACTTTAACTTACTCTTGTGTTTCACCGGGTTCGGGGCTGGCGCTGGCGCCGACGGCCCAAGCTGCAGCACGGGCGTGCTGTCGTAGAACGCATACGCCTCGTACCTGAAATAACACCGTATGACATGGATCTGTGCTCCCATGCGAAGGGCCATGGTGGAGTTGACCATGTCCAGGAGACGCTGGAGACACGCCAGGCAGTCGCCGGCAGACAGGTCCGGCGTGCACTGCGCCAGCGAGTACACCTTGGGAAATATCGCGCCGCTGTCCACGACGCCCGTGGCGAACAGCCTCGGCGCCGTGCTGGCCGCGAGCTGCACCGTCTCCACCACCAGCTCGTGGACGCGGCTGACGACGAGGCGCGTGTCGTCGGCGTCGCCGCCGCCGGCAGTGATGTTGTTGGGGTTCCATCGCGTGAACGGCGTGTCGTCGCCGTTGGCCGCCGTGGTATTGGAGGGCGCGAGGATGTTGTCGCCGGAGTAGACGAGCCTGCAGGTCCCGCCGTAGTAGTAGGCAGCCGAGTAGCACTGCTGCGGCGGCGGCGGTGTCAACGCGTCGAACGTGCTAGCGACGCAGTCGCCGCAGGCGGTGTCGTTGAGGACGTCGCCGCGGCAGAGCGCGAGCGCGTACACGACGTCGGGCGCTTGGCCGAAGGTGGCGGTGGCGAAGTGCAAGGGGGAAGAGGAGGTGTTCTTTGGGAGGGTGGCGGCGACCTGTTTAAGGTTGTCGCAGAAGTCGGCGGCCACCGAGGACGGGTTGTTGAGGTCGCCGAGCAAGAGGAGCAGGACGCCGGCAACGACGTTCATCGTCATGGCTCGGTGCGCGAACCTCACGTGTAGTGCTTCTTGTGTTTCATTCCCGGGCAGATAAGTACAGCATGAACAAAACCAGTTCATCCGTGTCCTTGTCACCACATCATCATTGACTACTTATATATGTATAAGAAGAAAAAAAAACAAGAGAAATCATTCAGTACATTTTTTTTCTCCTTTCTATACTTACCTTTGAATCCGTCAATCACGCAACCTAAATTTCAATTTCTTCGATCATCATTCACTTGGTCTTCCCAGGTCCGGCCAGCAACGAATAAAGTAATCCACTCTCCACTAGCTTGATGTTCTTTTAACATCTACTCCCACAGTAACAACCAATTTAGCATTATTCCTTATCTTAAAGCAACTCCAAGAGACTCTTTTTATCTTTACTAATTGTTAGTAACAGAGATTTTGGTGAACAAAAACACCCTCCAACAGCTTCTTTAATTGGTCATCATCCAAATATAGCTATTATCTATTTCGAATTTCTCGTTAGCTAAAAATAGATAGTGAGAATAGCTCTCTAAAGTATGCAGAAGATAAAGAAAAGTTGTTGAAGAGTGACAAGATATAGAAAACGATCATATGTAAATGATTCTCTAAATGATGATTTAGAGAGTGAATTTTAGAAAGACTCCTGAAGATACTCTTAGAGGAATTCTTTCGTTTAGCTATAGGGTGCACCATGCACCGGCTCTTTGTTAACCTGGAAAGTCTAACTTGTTGAGAAAAGACAGTCTCAACCGCCTAACTTTGTTGTCCTCTCCCAAAAAAAAAGAGAAATTATGTTGTCCTTTCTGATTTCCATCTCAATTACCAGAGGTTAATTAATGTAATAACCATATAATTTTGGTGACCAATAAAGGTACCAGCAATTTCCACAGCCGTCTTTTCTGGAACTCATGAAATTAAATACTCCCTCCGTCTCAAATTATAAGTCGCTTTAATTTATTAGTACATCTATTTTGCTATACATCAAGATATAATATATGTCTAGATACATAGCAAATTCAATATACTAAAGAAGTCAAATCGACTTATAAGAGAGTATAGTATATACACACAAGATTAACTGCAAGGCCCCATAATCTATATTCATATCTATTCTATATATAATAATAAAGAGATAAAACTTCATACCATTTTTTTATATGGCCTTTCCTAACTAACTTCGTGAATGTGAAAACTATTTTTGCTCGCCTCTCTACAATATATAATAACATATGCAGAGCTTCTTAAGATAACCTGGATAGGTACGAATCCTAATCAAAATAGATCCCTTAAATAGGGTAACCTGTGTAAGAATTCGAATCCTATCTGTTGACACCTAAGTTCAAAATAGGAATTTGGGATGGTCACGAGAAAAGCCGCTGGACCAAAGTCCGTTTACTATTAATTTTGGGCAGCGGTGATATGACCATATGCACAAGAAGACAAAGATCAAGGTACACGTAGGTGATATCCTTGTTACGAGTTTGATCATGTCCGAATATAATTATGGAAAATCAATGTGCCTGATCTAGTCCAAGGATTTTATTCTGTTAAATATACCGGAAAGGTTAGCCGCCCTATTATAAATGTAAAGGATGACAGATGATTAAGGGATCCAATACCCAATCGTTAAATAATACATCTATTATTTTTATCTTCTTCCTCAAGCTTTTTCATCCCCCAGTTATTCGGTGCATCTCTCAACGAGGTATGTCGGTGTTCTAGGCGACCTTGCCGATCTTAGGACACCCCATATGCATCTATCCGATGGGTCTTCCCAGGAGGCGTTCTTGAGTTTATCGGGCGAAGAATGTGAGCGCCTAAATGGTCTCGTCAACTTGCTCGTCGGCCTCACCGTTTGGATCTACTTTCGTTGCATGCTAGGCCATGTGTGGCCTCTGGGCGATCTAGCCCCTATCTTTGTGTGACCAAATCTACGTCAACACTATCATATTCTCTATACAGATCGAAACGTTTCTTCCGACTGTCAAAAGAACAGTATTCTGATTTTCTTAGTTTCTTCTCCCGTTGCAAGCCTATCTGCTAGTAACTAATCAAATTTAGCAAATCAGCAATACAGAATAGCCTTCGCTGTTGGGCTTGGGCCTGCTCCCCGTGCCGGGGGTCCGTCACTGAGCCCAGCTTTGGTTCCTCCTCCTCCTCACATTCATCTCCAACTCTGGAATTTGTCACCTGTGATTCCTGAAATTTTACTGGGTTTGCCATTGCAACTTTATTCGAACATGCTTTATCTTCACCCAATCGGTATCAAGTGCAAAAACTGCTGCTGGCGGGATATGTTCTCTCCTCTGTTTCATTAATTTTTCATCCGGATGACTGGATGACTATGTTTCGGAAGCCCAATGGATTCTGGAGTTGATCTCGTCAGAGATGTTTTCATTCCCGATCATCTCCCAAAGCTCTGCTCTGCTATCTCAACAATAGATTTCTCCACCTCAACTCAGTAATTCACTAATTCCTCATCATCACCTCTAAACCACGAATCTGCTTGCATGATTGCGCAATAATCTGTTGTTTTCCGGATTCATTCAAACACCCGTCTCAGTTACGACCAGAGATCGCCGGACTGCTCACAAGTCATACTTTTGCTGCCCTACTACTAGTAGTAGTACGCTCTAGTTGTAGCATTGAATTTGCAGGATGAATGAACTCCGTGTCGTCTGTTATTAGAGGCATCTTCTCCGGTCCTTGCTTTCTCTGATCTTCCAAGTGCCGTTTTATAGCTACTCCTTGTTGATCTGTACCTCTAAAGGCAATGTCCATGGGCGAGGCTGTCGGCTGTCTCAGCTGGAGTGGATCCAACAGAGACAATTGAAGCTACAGTTTAACGACCACTGAACAGTGGTAGAAGCTGCACCGAGGGAACTAGTGCTTGCTAACTGTTCAAGTTCTTTGAGCTCCATGCATCCATTTGCAGATAAACATGTGAAAATATGTACCATGACCTATCAGTAATGATGCAACACATATGCCCTACCCACTGTTTCAAAATGGAAGGCGTTTTAGTTTTTCAAGTCAACTTTTCTAGCTTTGACCAAGTTTAAAAATATATATATTAACATCTAAAATACCAAATAAATGCACCATCAGTAAATTGTCGTGATGAAAACCCTTTTAAAGAATTAGACAAATTCTCATTGACCCACGATATATTAAACTGCAAGAACTATGCTGGTTACAACAAGCTAAAAATGCTTGAACTACGGTATATACACAGCTTCGTAAGGAAATAGAAGGAAAATAGTTAGTAGAGGTTGCTTTGAAGTACAGATATGTGTACCCACAACTTGAAATGACAGGCTTCTCATTGTGTTTTCAAATGCAGAATCAGACAAAGAAACTTGTTCTAGCATCCTAAGACCAACCACTGACTTTCAGTTGTACCAGCATTTTGCTGATATTCGGTAACTAGTCTAAAACTTCACTGAAAGTGATCCGTTTATTGAACTATGAAATGGATGCAGTCTGATTTCAACTGAAGATCTCCACATGAAGACAAAACTGTCGAAAGCACAAAGTCATCAACATCATACCCTTCTTGCTGCATTAGGTACATGTATTTTAAAGCCTCTCCACAAAGGCCATTCTGAGTAAATCCTGTAATCATCACTTTCCATGTTACTAAGTTGTGCTCTGGCATGGCATCGAAGACTCTACGAGCTTCATCAACTTTTCCACACCGCATGTACATATCAATCAGTGAGCATCCCACAAAGACATTTGAGAAAGCTTGGGTCTTGTTAACAACACCATGGATCCTCCTTCCATCTCGCAGAGCCTCCAATCTAGCACAAGCTCTCAAAGCTGAGGAATAAGTGTAAGTATTTGGTGCCACACCGTCCCATAACATCTCATCTAATGACTTTAGTGCTTCAACATTATGGCCAAGATTGTTATAGCCCGAAATCATAGCTGTCCATGCAACAGCATCACGGTCAGGCATCGCTTCTAGAATCCTTGCAGCATAAGTATGCTCCCCACATCTGGAGTAAAACCAAACAAGTGTACTCCCAATCTGAAGATTCTCTTCCATACAGTTCTTCATTATCTGTGCATGAAGTTCTTTTCCAAGATAAATTGACTGCATAGAGCCACAAGCACTAAGGAGGCCAACAACAGTAAGGTGGTTAACAAATACTCTGCGCATCTTCATCTTTCGGAACAACAAGACAGCTTCTTCACCACAGCCACTTTGAGCGTATCCAGAGATCATTGAAGTCCATGTAATAGTGTTTCTTCTTGGCATCTTATGAAACACTGCCTGAGCATCAAATACCTCACCACATCTGGCATACATAGTGACAAGTGCGCTCCCGACATGGATATCATATTTGTACAGCTTTTTCACAATCGCACCATGCAACTGCTTCCCAAATCTTAGAGCCTTCTCCTCTGCACAAGCCTTGAGGGCGCTGCAAACAGTGAACTCGTTGGGGCGAAATCCCTCAGACACCATTTTTGGAAACATGTGAAGAGCTTTGTCACCATGCCCGTGCTGCACATAAGCCGTGATCATTGTTGTCCATGAGACAACATCACGGGAAGCCATCCTATCAAACACAGTTGAAGCAGCGGCAACATCACCGCATTGAGCATAGAAGTGTGCGACAGCGCTGTCCACTATCACATTGCTCCAGCCACCCTTCACAACGCAACAGTGGACCTGTTGCCCCAACTTGGCATCACATCGCTCCCCACAAGATTTCAACAGGCAAACAAAAGTCAAGCTGTTACCTTGGACGCCAGCGGCCAGCATATCCATCAAAAGCCTCACAACCTCACCGTGGCGGCCAAGCTTCTGATACCCGTTCATCATTGCCGTCCACGACACGACGCTCCTCTCGCGCATTCCGTCGAACACCTTCCTAGCATTAGAAGCCTCGTCTAACCGCACATAAGCGCTGATCAGATTGTTGGACACGAACAATCCCAGGCCGCCGAGCGACCGCAGGGCAACCGCGTGCGTTCTCCGGACGTCGAGCGCGCTCCGGCAGAAACGCAGCCAGAACGCGACCGCCTCGGCGTCCGGCAGTGACGGCGCCGCGGAACAAGGCAAATCCTTTCTCGGGATTCTATCCGCAAGGTCCCCGTGGCCATCAGCTCGGTGGGATTGAGAGCGCAAAGACTGGTTCTTGGGCTTGAGAACCTGCGCCCTGACGCGGTGGAACTTGCTCTTTTTGCTCCTCCCCTGCTCGCCGGAGCTGAGCACGCTCCGCGGCAAGCAGCTCGGGTGAAACGGCGAGCGCGGAGCACAGGTCTGGATTTGGTGGGGAAAAGGACAGCAGCATAGTAGCATCTGGACCTCCTCCTCCCAGTTCCTGCGCGCGCCTGGACTCGGAGGGAGAAGAGACGAGCACAGTGAAGGCGCGACCAAGCAGGAAGAGGGAAGTGGGGAGAGCCCGCAACGGGGGAAATTCGCTGGTGGTAACGGCGGGAGAGGTACTCACCGCCGCCGGCTGCCGGCGAGGGGGTGCGGGATGGGAAGCTGAGTGGGTGAGCTGATTTTGATTGGATTTTGTGGGAGAGTTTGTTTGTTTGTGTGTTTCTTTCTTTCTTTTTCTTTTTTTACAGGGTGAGTGGCCTTTTTTTTTTGCGACAATTATTACAGGGTGAGTGGTCACACTTTCGCCTTTTGACCTGCAAGGGATGGTAGCCCTTGGATCTTAGTCGAAGGGTAGATGGACAGAGTAAAGTGAAGTCGTGACTTGCTTGAGCAAAGTCACTAAATCAGGAGAAATCCCTGTAGCGGTCAGGGCAACCAGCGCATGGTCAAGGCAAACTAATTGCACCAATGCCTGTATTGAACCGATAAAATCCGATACAAGTGATCTGCGTGAGGTATAGTTTGGGGAAGGAAGCATCAGCAAGGGAATCGAGAGTAGGAGAGCAGCAAGTTCTGGAGATAGACAGTAATCAGAGATACTACATGAGGAATTGAGGATCTACAGCCTGTTCGTTTGGGTTTATTTAACTTATAAGTTATAGCTTATTAGCTAACGAATAATATTTTTTTCTGGTTTATAAGCCAAATACAGCCTAGCGAAACTAGACTAGGAAGGTGAAGGAGAGCGACGCCACGGAGGAAGAAGCTGGAGTTCTGGTATTTTATTCATATCCCCTGCTACTTCGATCTGCTTCTCCTTTGTATGCTTCTTTCATGGGCCCATAGTCCATCTTGGCAGCTCCGCTCACAACGCATCGCCAGTCCATTACTGTGATCATCCCTAACACGCCGCGTCCAGCAACGCCCGGCCCCTAATTTGATTTATTTAGTATTACATTTCAAGAAAAGTCTACAATTCAGTCTGAACTAAGCTCCATAATTTGTAGCATTGTAATAGAAAGCATATAGATTATTTGCATCAGGGAATAGCAATGGCGTATCATAAATGCACAGAAATTTGCCACACGAGCTGAAGTCAAAAGAAAAAAAAAATTCCAAATCCAAATATCTTCAAGCCTTTAACAGGGTATTGTTATTGATCGCATTGGCCTGAACCAATACTTAAAAGCAATAGACTAAAGCTGCTCTAGCAGATATGAGTTGGTAACAACGTATTAAAATTCATGCGCAGACAAGCTATCCAGTTTTCCACAACATGAATCCATCCAAACTGAAACTAAGATCCACGTGAACCAAACGTGCGTATGGTCCTGCGTCCACAAATGAGCGAATGAACCGTGACTTGTTCCAGTGATTGATGCAAATGAAATCTATAGCTAGATATTGATGTGAATCTCATCAGGTTCTATGCCATTCTCAGTCAGAAGCTCCACCAGGTTGTCGAGCACAGGATCATGTTCTTGAACCCCCCAGCAAACAATATCAACGCTATCAAGGTGCTCACAGCTGAACGACCTTTCTTCTAGCTCCCCAATGAATCTCTGATGTGTATGGCCAACCTGAAATGTGAGAAAACACACAAGTTTCACTTTAATGGCACATGCATCAACTTCTGTACAAGAATCAATAGACATGCATGCAGTGGCGGATGCACGATGCGGGATAAGGGGGGGCTAAAACAATAGAGATGTTGATTTGCATGAAGATTTAATGGTGAAATCAAGCTTTTGCTACAGTGATTATGCTTGAAATCAAGACATTAGGGGCCCAGCCCCCCCTTTGGATCCGCCACTGCATGCATGTGGAGAGAGCCATGTACCCCTCTGAGTTCCAGAGTTAGAATCTCCAGACTAGGTGAGTTCTGAAGGAAGACTATCAATGGATAGAAGTCTGGATGCAGACACCATTGACTGGTTGTCAGGGTTGTAAGATTGTTGAATTTTGGGCACCATTGTATATTTCCCATATTTAGCTGCAAAAGGTTCATAGGATTAAGACATGATAAAGAATTCCATATTTTATAAAACATTCATGACTGCAGTAGAGTTGTCAAGATAATGGAAACAAGCTAAAGTTACGTGCCAAATAGTTTGGATTCTTCAGTGATAATATCTTGAGAATACAATATCTGACAAAGGTCACACTAAACGCAAATCTTTTTTAATAAGAATAGTTCACATTACATTATACTCTGCCTATTTTCTTAGTGAGATTCAATCATCCAGAACACATATATTTGGTAAGCATCAATTATGATATGACTTTAGTGCAAGCCAGACAGATACACTGGTGAAAACAGGGGTGACCTATCAACTGGATTCTACGGATCTGATTGTAATTATAGGGGTGCACTTACAGTTTGGAAAAGTAGACAAAAGTTAAAGAACCCCACCCCACATATTATCAATTGAGAGCATTAATCATAATTCCTCCCGCCACCGCTAGGCCCCGCCCCCACGCCTCCAATGCCTGGCCGCCGCTGGAGCTCGACACCGGAGGCCGGCGAAAGGCAAGGATGGCGGCGGCTGGGGGTTCTTTCTCCTCCCTCCTCCTCCTCTTCCTCCTCCTCCTCTCTATCTCTCTCTCCGGTGGAACTCCCGTGCGTGCAGCTGCCGGCGGCCGGGATCCTGCTCAGCCACAGACGGATCCGCCCCCCTCCACACGGATCTATCTTCCCAGCGTGGAGTTGGCTGTGGCCATCGGGGTGACGTGCGGGAGTGGGGCCTCTGCTCAGCGAACGGCGGCGCTCTCGTGTCGTCTTCGCGGGCTCAGGGCGTCTTGGCCGGCCGTGCAGCGGGCGGTAAAGCGCCAGATGAGCGGCGCCTGGCGCGCAGGGACGGCGGCGAAGCTCTCCTTCTCCTCCGCGCCTCTCCTCCTCCTCTCTCTTGGCGACGGCGGCGATCTGCTGGGGCCGCCGGTCCGGGCCACGTTAGGTCGATCCGGTGCGGGAGGCCGATCTGACTCCAGTGGCGATTCGGCTTGGGGGCGGCGGCGCGGTGCTGCGGTTGTGGTCAAGACGAGGCGGCGGCGGCGGCGGCGGGGCGCCGGTTCGGGACCTAGTGTCCGGATCCGGCCATCCTGTAAGCGGCGGCGACACCGAGATGGTGGGGCACACGCCCTGTTGCGGCTGGCGGTGAGGTCGGCTGCGACATCGGCGGGTGCCTGGGCCGACGGAGGTGGTCAGTGATGGCCTCGTCGTGCGGCACTGGGGCACGAGCGGCGGAGCCAGGGCCGGCTTTGCGTGGCCCGGACGGAGGGGGTGACGGCCGATGCGTCGATGCCCCTCTGAAGGGGCTTCCGTGGGGCGGCGAGACAACGACGATGGCGGTGTAGGCTGGCAGGGGGTCCGGCTTCGCGACCCGACGTTCGTGCTAGAGGATTCTTGGGCGATAGCCTTGGCGACGGCGACGCCATTGGGCGCCGCTTCCCTGTTGGGGGCGTCGTGTTTCCCCTCTAGCATGTCATCCAGGGGTGAAAACCCGGTCCACTCTGGACGTGCGACGGTGGCGCCATCGGCGTCACTCCCTTCTTGAAGGCGTCGCATCTAGATTATCGCCGCGGCCTCGATGCAAGGCATGGGTTCGCGACCGGGAATCGGAGCTGCTCTTCGCTGGTTGAGCTTGGCAACGATGACCGGTGGCGGTCATTTCCTTTGGACCCGTCGGGTGGTGACTAGTGGGTGGGCTGCCATGGGATGTCCAAGCTGCTGGTAGCTTTGCTTCCATGCTCGGCAACGATGATCCATGACAGTGTGTCGTGTTTGTGCTCTTTCGCGTCGCGTGGGGTGGTTAGCCCTTCGGGTGCCATTTTGACTACTCGGTTGGCTAACCTTATTGTACATTATTACATTCTTTCGTCTTAATTGAGCGGCAGAGCTCCTGCTTTTTGTTTCAAAAAAAAAAGAGCATTAATCATCCTCTAGGTCCTGGCATCAAAATAAACTGTGAAACACTTGGTTTTGCAAAAGAATAAAGAATATATGCCATGCTTAGGTCTCAGATTTTGACTCATAAATATATGCATGGATGCAGAGTGTTGAATCAAGATGCAATACCATATTTCCTTCGTAACTGAAGTTTAAATCAGTAACACCAGAGAGGCTCTTGAGGAACTGACGGATATCATCAACCTCAGTATGATAGTAGGTATTGAGTACAGCACATGCTCTCTCCAGTGATTTCATGCTCTTCAGCAGAGGTATTCTTTGAAAAGTAGAGTAATCGAGGCGGATGAGGCTGGGAATCGAAATAGAGCACTGTTCTTCAAATGTGTAGGAACAATCAATATCCATGATCAGAACCTTCAGCGTCTTGGAGGTGATCTCAACATCAGAAATATCACAGGCATGTAAGATTAGATATTTCAATGCTGTAAAGCCTGTTGCGAGTTGTCAAAAGAAACCAGGGAACAAGGCAACACCCGCGAGCCTCAGCCTCCTCAGGAAGAGTCCCGAAATAAACACGGAAGGATCCAGATGCATGGTATTGTCCCGTACCGTAACCATGACAGATCGAGCATTGCAATGGAGAGCATGGCAGATCCATAGGTTAGCATCTTCTGAATAGTCATCAGATTCCCAAGGCATGTCATACCAGAGCCGGAAGTCCTCCAAGGCAAATGGGTTACGGAGCATCAAGAAACGGTTGACAAACTTCTTGAACAGCAGGGTGTCCTCCTCGTAGTAGTCAGACATGTGCTCAAACTCGTCGGACGTGGCGTTGATGCGGGGCACGGAACGCCAGAGGTTGCGCCACTGCCGTGACAGCACGCACGTCTGCACGACCTGGCGGGCACTCAGGTAGGACAAGATGAGGAGGAGCATGTCGTCGGGCAGGGCGTTGATCCTGCACACGGCACCAGGAACGCGCGGGTCTCCTGACATGTCGGCCGTTGCGTCGGGGTCACTGGGGCATTCCGTCGATCAGGTGGTGCTCAGACAAGCTGCGGCAAGGAGGCGAGATGAATTATGGAGACATGGATCCGCAGGTTCGAACAAGAACTGGGAAGGCGTAGGAAAGCACGAACGCGTGGAGATTTTGGGGATAGAAATGGAGGCAATCGAAGAAGATGGAAGGGAGAGGAAGCGGAAGTTGGCAAACCTGAGTGCGGGGCGTGCGTGCCGTGCCCAGCCCGCCCGGCGAGGAAATTATAAAACTGCCTCCGTCTTAACTCTTAAGCACCAGTTTACGGAGTAACTCAATGCCTGCATCTGAAATGTTCACTTCAGAGGTTTACAGAGTAACTCAAAGGGCACTATTCAGTCCAAGCAGAATACACTGTCTAAGGTCCCAAAAAGTAAGCTACTTAGTACTTACTGTACTTTCTAAGGGCTGTCTTTGGTGAAAAAAGACACAAGGCTACTTAGTACTTACTGTACATTTTGACCATTTATCTCTTTTTGGAAATGACGAGTTTTCATATGATGTACTGTATAGAGTAGTAAGGTGACGTTTGGTTCAGGGGCGGGATGAGGACGGGGTGAGATATCCTACTTTTATCCCGTGTTTGGTTTGGAGACAGCCGGGACGGGGATGACTCCAGAGGAAAATATTCCTCGAGATGCTAGATGCCCTCATCCCCAGAAATCGGGGGGACGAAGTAGGACGAGTGGGGATGCGCGAGCGGCGCCTCTTTTCCGTTTCGTTAGGCGCCTACTCCTTCCTCCGTGCAACGTGAACGGCCCAAGCCCTTGACGCGAGCTTGGCCATGGTGCTCGGAGGTGGCGCTCCTGAGCGACACGGCCCTAGCTCGGCGGAGGTCGTGTGGGCGGTCGGCTGGCGAGCGTCATGGGGAGGTTGGCGCGGTCCTGCTAGTGACTCCAGGCGGCGCAGGGGTAGCCAGCGAGCTCTGGGCATCGGGCGGACACCGACGAGGTCCACGCGTCTCGCGTGGAGCAAGGGCGCTGACGAGCTCCAGCCTCCGGGCTGCCGAGGCATGCGGGCGTGGTGTGCGTGCGGATCTAGAAAGGGGAAGAGGATAAGGTTAGCCGAGTGGGGCCCACTGCTGACATGTGGGGCCTACAGAACCGTAGATGACGGTGTTAAAACTCCGTCCATTCTATCTTTTTCTATCCGTCCTACCAAACAGAAAACAAAGGCCATCTCATCCCCTCAACCAAACAAATAGCTAGAATTGTCCTATCCCTGAAAACTAGGATAGGTCCATCCCAACCAACCGCGTCCCCCAGCCAAACGCTAATCAGAAGTTAACTTTGATAGGACCTTTTCCATCTCTTTTTAACACGGTGTTGAGCTTTTCTTCTCTACAAAACACAGTGAAATATACGCACGCACTTGCACATTAAACCTTATAGTTGTGTTAACAAATCTCTAGACCGACAATTGTTGCAAGTTTTTCGCTCTTGACAAACACCTTAGAATGCACTGCGCCGTGACTTCTAAAATTTGTACTAAACTATAATATATATCTATGTGGTGCTCATACTTAGGTTTAACAAAGTTTATTAAAAAGAAGAAATTTCTTAAATAGATTTTAATCTATGGGTACATACGTTATTGAATATATACTTACTTTTCTTAAATTTTTAGAAAACACTATTATATCTAGACTGCCAACTTTAGCATGTTTTATGGTAACTAACGATATATTCTGATATCTTCTATACAGAAATAATTTTTAAAAGGTTGAAAACTCAACGTATTTCCTCTAATGACTATGGTGCTCAAAAGCAATTAGAAAATCAAATTTTAAAATACGAACATGGTCGTAAACGGTCATAAATGATCACTTTTTATGTAAAAGATTCCCAGTAAATAACATCTTCCATTTTTGTTTTCCCCCTAGGTAGAAACGATGAAATATGAGACAGATGCCCTTTTTAATATATATGACTAGTTACTAACTGACATTAAAAATTAGTTCAAATTAGTTGTGGTTGGTTAGAGCATCTCCTGGAGCCTTTCTAAATCTCACTCTCTAAATCATTATTTAGATAGTCATTTGCATAAAAATCACTTTCTATATTTTTTTCTCTCTCTAAGAGTTGTTCTATATTTTGTGCGCACTCTAGAGAGTCATTATCATCTTTAGTTTTTGGCAAGCGAAAAATCTAAAATAAAAGATGATTATATTTGATAACCATCTAGAGAAGCCGTTTGGAAGATAGTTTTTCACCAAAATCTCTATTTCTAGCATTTAAGAATCATATAGAGAGTCTTTTGTAGATACTCTTAGCTAGTTGGCTAATAACCATTTAAAGACTTGACTAAAAAATTAGTCCATCTACCTATTTAGAAGTACTAGAGCTAATTTTAACTTATTTTTAGTAGCAATTAGCACCGTTATCGAAACATAAGCTTAGACTAAAAGTGTACCTTTCAAGTTTCAACCCACCTCGATGCTTGAAACTTCGTTATTATGGTTTTTCTGGTGACTGGCGGACTTGGTGTCGAAGGAATCATATAGTTGACTTTTCGTCTACCGATGAGTTAGCCCTTGTTTAGTTCCATGAATTTGGATTTTAGGGCTACTGTAGCACGTTCGTTTTTATTTGGCAAATAGTGTTCAAACATGGACTAATTAGGCTCAAAACGTTCGTCTCGTAATTTCTCACCAAACTGTGCAATTAGTTTTTCTTTTCGTCTACATTTAATGCTCCATGCACGAGCCGCAAACATTCGATGTGACAGGTACTGTAGCAACTTTTTGGAATTTGGCCTCCAACTAAACACGGCGTTACATTGTCTTCTGCTATGCTACTCTGGGACTCTCTTAGTCTCGCAAAGAGTGCCATCCTTCGTAACAAGTTAAATATTTTTAAGTTTGATTAAAAATATATAAGGAAATATTAATAATTATGGTGCATAATTAAATATATTTTCTAGACATGAACTCCTCGCGCGTGAGGATGGAGGCATGCTTGGTTATGAAGGAGCTGGTGGACAAGGCCGTAGAGGCGGGGATGTACTCGATGTCGACGGGGCTGCACTGGCCGAGCTTCTGGTCGGCGTCGAGCGGCGCGTCGGGGTCAATGGAGGTGAACTGGTGGACCTGTATGTTGGCGAGGGAGTCGGCACCCGGGAGCAAGCCATGTTCGGCGGGGTCGAACTCGAGGGAGATGTTGGCGCCATCAGCAGTGTCGGTGCCGGCCAGCTCCTCCAGGATGTGGGCAGGCTGCTCGAACAGTCCACCCCATTTGTCGAAGCGGTTGTCGGTGACGACGACAGTAGCCTGGGTCGAAGCGGAGGAGATGTCGGCGAGCTGCTCGAAGAATCCGCCCCAATTGTCGGCTACCACCTAGACTCCATCTGTAGCAGATGGAGACGGAACGAGGACTCCCGGAGAGGCCTCGCGCGCGGCGTCATGCTCGGTTAATCTCTGATCCCACTTCGCTTCGTACTTGTGGAAGATTTTGCGGATTTCGCCGAGAAGGAGTTGGGTAGAAGGAGAGATCTCGGTAGGGAGATTCATGGTGCTAGGAACCGAGAATCGACGGCTCTGGTACCAATTGTTAGCAACTCTACTAGATTGGTTCACAGATAACTTGATTCAGGCAAGGAAAGTACATGAATTGAGAGGAAAGGGAGGTAGGAATCAGCAAGCAGGGAAATAAGGTGCTAGGAGATAGGTCTAGAAGGAACTGGAGATAGGAATCTGGGTACAAGAAAGATAGAGAGAGTTGGGGAAGAAGAACAGTAACTAGGGAGAGGTACTATGTTTTCTGATAATTGTTCGATGCCCTTCCTCTTGTCATCCCGACCCTTTGTACTGGCGTGGTCTTGCCTTTGCTTCTGTCTGACAGCCCGGCCCCACCTGGCAGTCCATCCTACACATATCCCTGACAGATTGCCTTCTTGAAGGACGAGCTTAGCTGCATGAACGCTCTGTTGGAGAAGCTGGCCAACATGGACGTGCTTGACCTACAGATGGAGTGGAGGAAGCAAGTGAGGGAGATGGCCTATGACATAGAGGATTGCATTGACGAGTACATGCTTCAGCCATACCAACAGAGATGTACTGGTATAATGGGATCCTTCCATGTGTATGTTCAAAAAGTCAAGGAGCTGGTTGGCCGCCACGAGGTTGCTCAGCAGACAAAAGAGCCTAAGGATCGAGTTGTTGAGGCAAACCATAGAATAAACAGGTACAAGACTGAAGTTGATCCTGTAACCACCAATGTAATGTCCATTGATCCTCGATTACCAGCACTCTATGTTCAGTCATCTGATCTAGTCGGTATTGATATTCCAAGGGATCACCTCATGAACATGCTAGATGATGGGGAACAATCATTGAAAATAATTTCAATTGTGGGACTAGGAGGATTAGGCAAAACTACCCTTGCAAATGAAGCTTGTAAAAAATTAGCTGGCAGTTCGATTGTAAGGCTTATGTGTCAGTGTCCCAGAAACCTGATGTAAAGAAAATTCTGCGTGTCATATTTTGTCAAGTCAAGTATCAAGATTATTCTAGTACATAAACAAGGGATGAGAACTGGCTCATAGATGCACTTAGAGGTTTCCTCAAGAACAAGAGGTACTGCTCTGTTTTCATATTTCTAGACATTCTAGTGTTAAATTGTGTCTTCTTCGAGGTCACTATACCTATGAGACAATTTCTAAAATCATTCTAGTATTTAGGGTTGTTTAATTTACTATAACATTAATGTATCCCTTGTGCAATATGACCCATGGGTTATTTTGTTTCTCAAACAATTTTAACTATTTACTCCAATCTTTGACTTTATTCTTCATCTGTTTTTTCTTACAATTTTAAGTGTATATATATATATATATATATATATATATATATATATATATATATATCCCAATGTGCATTTATGCATTAGTTCAAACATTATATACTTATTCTTTTAGCAATGAGTCATGCAAAATATTTGGGGCTTGTTTGTAACATAGGAAT